GGCCCAGTAACGTCTCCATTGTGAGACTTCTTGTTACTGTGTTTGGCATATTGAATACTCTCAGTAGCTTGCCAGGCTCTCTGAGAGTGGCGGAGGAATCGAACCCAGCTCGGCTGGGCTGGCTGCGCGCAAGGCAAACGCCCTACCGCTGTGCTATCACTCCCATACTGCTATCGCCCTACCGCTGTGCTATCACTCCCATTGTAAAACAAAGTGCCTGAAAAAAGTGCCTGCCACAGAGGCATGCAAAGGATATGGGGGAAAATGAACATATTGGTTAAAGGAAGTAAACAATGGTGAAGGGTCTGGTGTTGGAACATTGTATGACAGAAAATAAACATATATTACTTTGCAACATTGTAATTCACGATAATTTAATCAAAGTTAATTTTAAAACCATATCCCACTTAAAGGAGAAAATATCTTCCCACCATCCATCTGACAAATGCCTACTATCCAAGATATTATAAAGCCCTCAGAAAACAACAATAACATAAAAGCGTTCCCATTAAAATGGGGAGATGCCTTACATGTGGTCAACCCGGGTTCAATCCTCAGCATCCCATATGGCCCCCCAAGCACCAAGTGATCCATGAATGCAGAGCCAGGAGTAAGCCCTGAGCAAAATTGGTTGTCTTCCCCCACCAAAAACAAACAAACAAACAAAAAACACAGAGAGAATATCTGAATAGACATGGCTCAACAGACAAACAAATGGCCAATGGGAAGATCTTTAAGCATAAGTTAATTAGTGAATAGTCCTGATGAGTGTGAGCCAATGTCCAACAAAAATCACCAGAAATAAAGCAGTTATAAATGATGCTACAGAAAATGCAAGGATCATAAATAACCACCATTATCAGCTATCTGCAAAAACCTTTAACAACCTAGAAAACATGCAAAAATATCTATAATCCTGCAACCTTTCAAGCTGTGTCAGCAAGAAATAGACATGTTGATCAACAGATATATTAACTGTGATCATAATCGAAAGTTCCTTAAAGTCAGCATCACCAAGCCAGGAATAGACTTGGGACCCTGAGGTCTCCCTTCTCGCTGAACCCACCCCTAGATCAAGAAGTTCCACCATCTAACATCAACTCAATTTCTCAAACCTGAAACTGTGTTAGCATACAGTGAGATTATTACTGAACACACTCTCCATATTGAAGTAAATGGATACAACAAACATACTTCACTGACATTATACAGTCATATATTTCAATCAAATAAACAATGTTACCAGTTCAAAAAGAGACTGGCAAGTTCCTTGTGACATATTCGATATGCCAGACACAGTAACAACAAAGTCTCCAATGGAGACATTACTGGGCCCGCTCGAGCAAATCGATGATCAACGGGAGGGCCTTTACTTTACTTACTTACTAACCTACTTTTCACAAGTCTGTGAAATAAATCTCTTCTATCACTGTCACTGTCCTACCGCTGTTCATCTATTTGCTCAGTAATGTCTCCATTTTGAGACTTGTTGTTACTATGTTTGGCATATCGAATATGTCACAGGTACCTTGCCAGGGTTTGCCGTGAGGGCGAGATACTCTCGGTAGCTTGCTGGGCTCTCCGAGAGGGACGGAGGAATTGAATCCGGGTCGGTTGGATCAGCCGCATGCAAGGCAAATGCCCTACTGCTGTGCTATCACTCCAGCCCATCTCTTCTATAAATGAATAAAATGGGCACAAAGATTCCACACAATTTTCCAGCAAATAACAGTATCTGGATTTAAATTTGAATAATCTAGTTCCATAACTCATAAATTTCCTCCCGCCCTTTTATTGAGGTGCCTTCATTTACAATATTGTTAGTGATAGTTTCACGCATATATTATTATAACACAGCACCCTCCACCAGAGAACCTGCTTTCCTCCACTAATTTTCTAAGAACCCTTCCTAATTAGCCTATTTCCCCCATATAAACTGAGTTCTGTAGCCTAACTCTCCTGTTGTGTTGTCTTTGGCTACCTGTTGCTCCCTTGCTGTGTTTCTTTATATCCCACAAATGAGAAAAATTATTCTGTTTTTGTCCTCTCCTTATGACTGACTTCACTAAGCATGATACCCTTCAGTTCCATCCAATTGGCGGTAAATTGCATTATCTCATGTTTTCTTGTAGCTGGTAGCATTGCATTCTGTACCACAATTTCCTTAGTGATCTGTTGCTGGGCACTTAAGTTCTTTCCAGATATTGACTGGAAAAGTTCTGGAATGAGCATAAGGGCACAAACATCTTCTTGAAATAATGTATTTGGGCCCTTGGGATAGATGTTGAGTATTGGAACTGCTGGATTGTATGGAAGTTCAATACTTATATTTTTACACTGTTTTACAATAAGTTGAAATAAGTGACATTCCCACCAACAGTGGCTGAGATGTTCAAAGCATACTCCTGGCACTGGGCTCAGAGATCAATACTGGTGGGATTCAGGGGACCATATGGGGAGGGGGCAAGAAGATGAAGCCTGGGTCAGTTACATGCAAGGGGAACACCTTACCCACTGTACGTACCATCTCTCAAGCCCCATAAGAATCTTTTTTTTCTAAAATTTTTATTAGTGAAACACCTTGAGGTACAGTTGTAGACTTACAAATTTTTGTGCTTGGAATTCAGTTATACAATGATCAAATACCCATCCCTCCACCAGTGCCCATTCTCCACCACCACCAGTCCCAGTATCCCCTCCACCCCCCCCCATCCCACCCTACCTCTGTGGCAGGGCATTCCCTTTTGTTATCTCTCTCCTTTTGAGTGCTGTGGTTTGCAAAAGAGACATTGAGTGGCAATCTTGTTTGGTCTATAGTCTACTCTCATCACGCATTTCCCATCCTGAGAGGAACCTCCCAACACCCTTTATTTGGTGCTCCCTTCTCTATCTGAGCTGCCTTTTCCCCTAGCGTGTGCTCAAAGTCATGGAGTAATCCTCCTGGTACTTATCTCGGCTATTCTTGGGTGTTAGTCTCCTATTTTGTTACTTTATGTTTGCCAGATGAATGAAATTTTTCTGTCTGTCCCTTTCTTTCTGACTCATTTCGCTTAGCATGATACTTTCCATGTAGTATCACTTGTATATGAATTTCATGACTTCATCTTTTCTAACAGCTGCATAGTACTCCATTGTGTAGATGTACCAAAGTTTCTTTAACCAGTCATCTGTTCTTGAGCACACAGGTTTTCTCCAGATTCTAGCTATTGTAAAGAGTGCTGCAATGAACAAACAAGTGTGGATGTCACTTTGACTATACTTTTTTGCCTCTCTGGGAAATATTCCCAGCAGTGGTATTGCTGGGTCAAATGGGAGCTCAATTTTTAATTTTTTGACAATCGTCCATACTGTTTTCCAAAAGGGCTGAACCAGTTGGCATTCCCATCAGCAGTGAAGGAGGGTCCCTTTCTCGCCACATCCGCACCAACACCAGTTGCTTTTGGTCTTTTGGATGTGGGCCAGTCTCTGTGGTGTGAAATGATATCTCATTGTTGTTTTGATCTGCATCTCCCTGTTGATTAATGATGTAGAGTACTTTCTCATGTGAAGAATGTCTTCTTTAAGGAAGTTTCTCTTCATCTGTTCTTACCATTTTTATGGGCTTGTTTTTCTGGTTTTTGCCTAAACATTTTACATATACTTTATATATATGTGTGTATATATATATTGGATTTTAGATGAACTGTGGACAAACATTTATTCCTATTCTGTGGGTTTCTTTTTATTCTAGTCATTGTTTCTTTTGCAGTATAGAGCTTCTTGATTTGATGTGGTCCCATTTGTTTATTTCTGCATTTGTTTTTTGGCTAATGGTTTTAAGTCATTGAAAATTTCTTAGATTCAGTTCCATGGGCTGGAGTGATAGCACAGCAGTAGGGCATTTGCCTTGCACGTGGCTGGCTAACCGAGCCCAGTTCGATTCCTCCGCCCCTCTTGAAGAGCCTGGCAAGATACCGAAAGTATCTTGCCCGCACAGCAAAGCCAAGCAAGCTACCCGTGTTGTATTCAATATGCCAAACACAGTAACAACAAGTCTCACGATGGAGATGTTACTGGACCCACTTGAGCAAAGCGATGAACAACGGGAGGACAGTGCTACAGTGCTACAGTTCCATGAAAGACAGAAACTGACCCACCTCCCATAGCCACGGACATGTTGACTCACCCCCTGGTCCTGCTTTATCTATTACCAACTAAATCTCCCAGAAGAAAAACACCAAGCAGTGAAAATTCATGGAAACACTGGTCCTGACAGTTGAAAACTCTGGGGTATCCTAGCACTTAACAATTCTGTTACAACAATTTTCATTTAGCAGTAATCTATAGGGCCCTTACTTGCTACCTCAAAGAGAGGAAGAATTGGACAGAAAGCGACAATATCTAGGACAACAATAAGAAACCAAGTAGAGGGGCTGGAGCGATAGCACAGCAGGTAGGGTGTTTGCCTTGCACGCTGCTGACCCGGTTTGATTCCCAGCATCCCATATGGTCCCCTGAGCACCGCCAGGAGTAATTCCTGAGTGCATGAGCCAGGAGTAACCCCTGTGCAAAGCCGGGTCTGACAAAAGAAAGAAAGAAAGAAAGAAAGAAAGAAAGAAAGAAAGAAAGAAAGAAAGAAAGAAAGAAAGAAAGAAACCAAGTATAGTGTAATGGGCAGAGTTGTTGACTATTCCCTTCTCCATAAAAACCCCGCCCATTTTACAATCTCTGTCCAACAGACAAATGGGTCAGCAAAACCAGGTTTGGCTATACTCTGTATAAGTGTTCTGGAAAATGCTTTCGTAAACTTTCCACTCATATTATTATATTTCTGGAATAGCAGTTCAATGTATAAAGTTTAATATAATTCATTTTGAGTGTTGGGGATGTGACTTAGAGATAAAATATATGCATTTATGCAGAAGATGTGAGTTCAATATGGCAGAATCCCCCTTCTCCTCTGAAAAAAGGCAGATAAAATTATACAGTTCTCATCAATTTAATTATTGTTATTTTCTTACCTTTTTCTGCTGGGCTCAAAATAGTCACTGTGAAAAGACAAAGATGAAAATTAGTCATATTTTAAAATATATTTGCAATAAATTTGTTGTGAGGTTATAGGGGACACACTCAACAGTCCTCAGGATTCTGTGCACAGGGATCACTCCTAGTTGTGTTTCGGTGACTATATGGTGCTGGGTATGGAACTGAGACTGGCTGCTAGGCCTTACTCTCTGTACTATCTCTCTGACCCTATCTGTGATCCACTTTTCTACAGCATCATTTTGAGAAATGTAGTCAATAGTTAGTTAGGAAACTACTTGCCAGCTAGCATGAATAAAAGTAAGAAAGATTCAATTCTACTTTCAATATTTTCCTTTATTTTAAACTATGAGTAGTAAATAGCAAACACAGATATAATTTGATATTTAAAAAATAAGACCAGAGAGATTGTAAATTAGCAAAGGTGCTTGCATAGCATACAGCTGACCCCACAGTTTGCTTGGGTCTGCCAGGAGTGAACTCTAAGTACAGAGCCAGGAATACAGCCTTAGCACAGTCAGGTGTGGCCCCTAAAACAAAGTTAAATCAAATAAAATGTAATAAGGTTATTTCTTCCGAAATCCTGCATATGTGTCTATGTGCCAGAGAATGGCCAGCAGAAAACTACTTAAAGCTTCTTAGTCCAAAGAAATGAAAAGGTTGAATTTTCTTCTCAAATTGTATTTTATATCAAATGTCAAGCACATCAACTTATGAAAGCAAATACAAAGATGAAAGACCTGATCACAGCCCTCGGTGCTGCTAGATGCCCGTTGAACACAACACTAACTTCAGGATGAGATCCCATAGTCCCGATCCAGATAGCTGCTAAGCCCAACATTGGTCGCAGGATGATTTTTTACCTTCTTGGCCAAGACTACCACACAGCTGTCCATGGATTAAATTGTCGCACCACTAACATCATTTTGCCCAGCCCAGCAGGAGCCACAAGGTGAGTTTCTGAAGCTCGGGCACAGAATAAACAAGCAGCTTCATCAGCAGAATCCTTATGGGGAAGTTTCCAACTTGGATTGGTTCGAGATTTTGGCTATTGTGAGTAGTGCTGCAATGAACATATGAGTGCAAATGTCTTTTCTGCAATGTGGTTTTGGACTCTTTGGGTATATTCAGGATATAACAAACCTTTTAAATCTGCTAGAAGAAGATTTTAGAACATAATCATATGGATGCTTTGATGATTTGAAAAAGACATTCTCAAAGAGAATCAATAAATATGAGGAAAGCCTAATGGAAAAAAATGAAAGAACTCATTCAAATACAAATAAAAGGCTGAAGCATACAACTGCAGATCTCAGCCATGAAACAAAAAAGAAATCTAAAAACTGAATCATTGGTCACAAAAATATGGTGCACAGCTCCATGAATAAAGTCAACAGATAATAGAATGATAAAACAAGAATATAAGTATTATTGGTAAATGATAGTTGAGAGGAACAACCTCAGAACCATAGGAATTCCAGTAGGAGAGGAAAGGAGTGAGTAAGAATGATTAATTAAAATACTAGGAAGCAAATTTCTCAGTTTTGAAGAAATACCTGGGAACACTAATGGAAAAAGGCAGAAAGAGTGCCAATCAAAGTAAATCTAAACAGAACACTAAGGCACGCTGTTCAAAACAGTGAAAACCAAAGAAAGAGAAAAACTTCTTAAAGCAGTGAAAAAGCAAAATCTCATATACAAGGGGAAAAGATAAGATTCACAATTTTTTCTAACTAAACTCTATAAACAGAAACAAAATTAAATTACATATTACAAAGTATTGAATGAAAATAACCTTCATTCAAGAATTCTCTACCCTGAAAGGTTATTAGAGCTGGAAAAAAAAACAGGAAAAAACATTCTCAGCCAAGCAGCAGTTGAAATCATTTGTAGCATCAAATCAGCTATTAGAGAAACAGAAAGGCCTTATATAAAAAATAAAGTTAGAAAAAAATAAAAAATAATAAAAAGTAAAGTTCAAGAAGCAAAAGCAATGAAAATTCTCATAGTCACATGGCAAAATATTCCTTCAATCAGTAATTTATCTAAATATTATCAAGTGGAACTCTTCCATTTAAAAACACAGTGACTAGATGGATAAGGAAACAAAATTCAACCTTCTGTTGCTTACAAGAGACACATTTGGGGGCTGGGGAAATATACAGTGGATAAGGTACTTGCCTTACAGTCAGCCAGCCCTGTTTTGATTCCTGGCACCACATATGGCACCACATATATTCCTGGCACCCTGAGCCCTGCAAGTGATTTCTGAGCTCAGAATCGGCCAAGTGTGACCCCCCAAAACAAAACATACAAAAGAAATACAAACAAATAACATACTTGAATTGTCACAATAAGCACAGGTTCAGAATAAAAATATGGAAAATAATCATACAGGCTAATGAAAACTTTTAAAAAGCAGAGATGGCAATAGCATTTCAGCTAAACAAAATAATAAGGGTTAGGGATAGTCATCACATACTAGCTAAGGGACTTAACTCATATATATATATATATATATATATATATATATATCAAATGAAGGACCAGCAATGTTCATAAAGCAAGTGCTAATAAAGAGACCTGTGGAGATGCATCAATGGCAACACAAAATTACTGGGAGACATTAATGCCCCACTTCCATCTTTGGACAGATTAACCATAAACCACAATAAAGAAACATGAGTCCTCAATGTGGAACTGCAAAAACTGGGTCTAATACACATATATGCAGGATGGACCCTTACCCTAAAAGAACAGAATACATATTCTTCTCTAGTGCACATGGAGCATTATCCAGGATAGATCATGTGCTTGGACAGAATTTGGGTATCCATAAAGTAGTGAAAATTGAAATAATAAAGTATTTTTTCAGGCCACAATACCATGAACTTACAAATTAATCATAAACCCAAAATTTAGGTTTCAAAAGTATGAACATCATACTGTTACATAACAAGTGGATCAAAAAAGAAATAAGACCTTCTGCTCTGCCTCACCCTCTACTTCCTGCTCCACCATTCCAGGTGAGGCTCGCCTCCAGCTGATATCACTGTATTCCAGTATAAGAGGTAGAACCCCTCCCTACCGGGTGAGTTCCAGTAGCCTCCACACCCAGCCTGAGCCATTTTAAAGGCCTACGCCACAGTTCCTGCCTGACCTTCAGCTTGCTGCACCACCATATCAGGTGATACTTGCCTCTGGCTGATACCACTGTTTCTATTATAATTAACAGAATTAATTAGAGCCCCTTCCTCCCTGGTGGGCCCCAACAGCCTACACATCCAACCTATGCCATATTAAGGACTCACCACAGTTCCTGAAGCTCAAGGTCACATAGACAGCTCTACACAACAAATTGCATCCTGCTCACAGTTATACTTCCTAACATTTTGTGAAGATGAGCAGAGAAGACAGAGAGCAATGTCCAGCTTAATCCCTAAATATCTGGGAGGGGGGAAAATTGCAAAGACTCAGTGCCAACACAACAAGAACACTAGAAAACAATGGAGAAAATATGTAGAATCCCACAAACCCAGTGAGCAAAAAAATATCCCCAAAGGCATAAACAACACTAATAAATCTTTTTTTTACAATTTTTTAATGAATCACTGTGAGGTACAGTTACAAACTTGCTCATGTCATTTCTATTATACTTTTTTGCATCTCCAGGATATAGTCCCTGAAGTGGTATTGCTGGGTCAAATGGGAGCTCAATTTCTAATTTTTTGACAAGCTTCCATACTGTTTTACAAAAGGGCTGAACCAGTCAGCATTTCCAAAATGGCAATACTCCCCAAAGCCTTATACAGATTCAATGCGATCCCTATAAGGATATCCATGAAATTTTTCAAAGAAGCGCATCAAACACTCCTGAATTTCATATGGAACAATAAACCCCCATGAATAGCTAAAGCAATTTTGGGGAAAAAGAAGATGGGAGGCATCACCTTTCCCAACCTCAAACTGTACTACAAAGTGGTAATAATTAAAACAGCATGGTACTGGAACAAAGACAGAGCAGTAGGCCAATGGAACAGGGTTGAATATCCTTACACACACCCTTAAATATATGAGCATCTAATCTTTGATAAGGGAGCAAGAAATGTGAAGTGGACCAAGGAAAGCCTCTTTAACAAATGGTGCTGGCAAAACTGGACAGCTACATGCAAAAAAGGCGGCTCAGACCTGACACCATGCACAAAAGTCAGATCAAAATGGATTAAGATCTCCACATCAGACCAGAATCCCTAAGGTACATTGAAGACAAAGTTGGCAAAACACTTCATGACATGGAAGCTAAAGGTATCTTCAAAGATGACTCACCACTGACCAGGCAAAGGGAAACAGAGATAAACAAATAGGACTATCTTAAACTAAGAAGCTTCTGTACCTCAAAAGAAACAGTGACCAGAATACAAAGACAGTATACAGAATAGGAAACAATATTCACCCAATACCCATCTGATAAAGGGTTGATATCAAGGATATACAAGGCACTGGTTGAACTCTACAATGAGAAACATCCAATCCCATCAAAAAATGGGGCAATAAAATGAACTGAAACTTTCTCAAAGAAGAAATCCGAATGGCCAAAAGGCACATGAGAAAATGCTCTTCATCACTAATCATCAGGGAGATGCAGATCAAAACAAAATGAGATATCATCTCACACCACGAAGATGGGGCCACATCCAAAAGAACAAAAGCAACTGGTGTTGGTGTGGATCTGGGGAGAAAGGAACACTAGTAAATCTTTAAGTCTTCAAACAGTGTCTTCAGACAGTGCCTTTAGTGAAACTATAATGTGGATGTTCAATGAGTTCAAAGAAACAATAGCACAGTTGTGAGCACAGCACAAGAAAGTATGAGAGTTGAAAATTTAAAACTACTAGACAGAAATGACAGTCAGAACTGAAAAATATGGTAGGTGATATTTTAAAAGTCAACAGAAACTCTGAACAAAAGCTGGGAGCAATAGATCAAGGAGCTCAAGACAAGGAGG